CTTAACTTTTTTCCTAGGTGTATATATATATATATATAGATGCATTTTTGGTATCTGTGTAATGTTCATGGTGTTTGTTCTTCCCAGACTGTCATCTAATCCAATAAATACTTCACTAATTCCATCAGTTTCCTTCAGAGCTATCTCTGCTGGTCTACATTCACATTATGTGTCCAATATTCAACTAGTGAATTCAAATGTACTAGCAATCATGCATTTGTATGTTGAAAAATGCTGCTAAAGTAATGTTAGCTACATTACTAGTCTCTGTTACTTTTGCTTCACATATCATACCAACAGCAGCTTCATTGTTACCATAGTTACTGTGCATAACTGAATTATATATCTTGTTCTTGGAGAGAAAACAGTGTGAGAAGTACAACTTAATTTACTGATAGAAAACAGTACATATCAGAAGCTGATTTTATGACCTCATTCCCTAGTGGTATATACTAAGACTGTGTTCACAAAAATACCTTTTGTGTATTAAACAGAATTGTAATTTCATAGACTATGTACTCGTACAGTCCATTGTTCTTGTATGTATTTGGCCATCATATTATAACTTAATCACTGACATGCATTTCACATGATGATAGCACCAACAATAATGTGAGTTGAGCCTCTCCATTTTCTACAAGCCTATTGTCACTGCCAAGAAAAAAGTATGTTTTTACTGGCTGAAGTGGTGATTTGCATTGCAGTGACTGATATACTGCAAGAATTCTAGTGACTTCTATATGAACTAAAAACTGTATTTTTACAGGCATATACCAAGCCATGTTGAAACTACCACACCTGGAGGAATAGACAGGTGACTGTTTTCTCTCTGATCAGTGGCCAGACCCAATCTAAGACTCACTAGTTTATACTAGTGGAACAGGCATAACTTGCAGCTTATAATATTATTTGGGCTTGTAGCCTGTCATTTATCCTGCTTAGTTGGCTTGTGATATATTGCACAACACACGGAATGGAAACTTGTGTTACCAATGACCAAACTATGTGCAACTATACTAAGCATCTTCTGACATATTTCTGAATGTCTGCCCATCCACGTCATTGGTACAGATAGAGCATCATGTTCAGAGTATCTCAGTTGCTCAGTATCTCTGTAAATATGGGACCATTTGGTGAGAATTCTCATAATGTCACCAACACTTGTGTGGTTGCATCACTGAAATATAACTCAGGAAATGTAAAGATTTTTTTACTAAATGTAAGTACATACTATACAAGAGTGGGGTGTGTGATTTCTGCAAGCTCCACATATAAAGGATGATCAATTTCTTCAATATATGTTCTTAGGTAATTATGTATATTGTATTTTGTTCATGATGTTTTGATTGAACATATATATATTATCAAAACCATAATCTTTTTTGTAGCATTTTTTCAAATTACAAGTTTGCTGAGATTTAATAACAGAGCAAGCAATTGACTAAAACAACGTCCAGATTTTTGAACTATTAAAATGTTTAGTCCTAGTTTTCTGATAGCCTTTCTAATTTGAGCACTTGTATAGTCATGTGTCCTCTCCAATGGGTCAGTGGTAAGCTTATGCACTTACAGCACTAACATCAATGGTTTAGTATGGAGAAACTAATTATTCCTTGCATTAAGGATTTTGCAAACATATTAATAGATAAAAAATATTAAACAAACAAAACACCACTGGTGAACATTAATGCAATCTGATAAATTACCTGAAGAACAACTATATAGACCCAAAAATTTAGCACAGTGTCAAAGTTTTAAAGAAAGAGAACATAAAAAAGCACTTATGATTAAGTAGAAAAGCCCTCTGAGAACCATTATAAAAGTTTGATGATTTAAATAATAAATAGATTAGAGGCTATTTTTAAAGGATTACTATTTATTTGTTTACTTGCATAATTTAGACCACATTTATCATCATCCCAACATCTGATGACTCTTGCAAGAAGCTGTGTTTGTTGTTTTATTTACTATATTTACCAAAACTGGGACAAGTGTAGTGATTTCAATATTTATAGTTATATGTTATTTAAAAAATTATATTTTAAAATATTATTTATGGCACATATGAAAATATATGAATATTTCTATTTATTTCATCGTTGTAATGTCTACTTTTCGTGTAAGGATTATTGAATTATGTACCATCATGTGATTCATTTTTTTAATGTACCATTTGAATTATAGATATATCGACAGTAAACATTTAGTCCTTGAGAAAGACAAAAGCTGGGGTGTTGGGTAAATTCATTGTTTTTCATCTGAAGCTTGTGATCATAATTTTTATAGTAACTTAAAAAAACCAACATCACATTATTTTAATGCATTAGTGATATTTACAAAAACAAAATAGAAATTCCAGCTACAACCAACCAAGGAAAAGTATGAAGTTTAATTTGAGTAGATTAGTGTTTAGTATTAAAGAATTTAAATTACTTAACAAAGAGCATGAGAAATAAGTTCATCATTCTGTTAGATGTGGTTATATTCTGTTTAATAGTATGGCACATGGACAGACAAAAAAAAAATTCAAGCATTAATATATGAACACCAGGACAAAGAAACATACATACATATATACAACATTATTAATTTGACTGCAGAGGATTTCTTGTTATGTTTTTTAACAAGTTTCAGAAATGCATATGCTCTTATTTAGGCTCTAGTCTCAATAATTCTGTAATTTAAAAGATTTGTGGATACTCTATAACTGTGATAAGTATACTGATAGATTGTAATTACAGTTGAAAATAATTAGGAAAGTTTATTGAAATACCAATAAAATTATTAAATATGTACTTAACATTTGCTGACCACTAACATTATAATTACTGGAGACACCATAAACGAATGTATGGTAAATATTTGTATTATAATAAATGACTTCTAAATATTGTACAAAAGTGGGAATCTTTACATACCTGATGATTTTATGGTATAATAGTACTTAAGATATTACTAACTGAACCAAAAAAATGCATAAGTAATATTCCATATAAAAGTAACTTATTTGGGTACTACCAATTTAGTATATTCATATGAGTTATTGAATAGGTACACTAAATAATATGAGATTTACTAAAGATATTTATTATGATAATGGAGTAGTACTAAATCTCTTATTAACTGAGTCAGTGTTAAATTAAGTAACAACACTAGACACAAAGTGAAATACAAAATGAGCACTAAATAAAAACAGTATGTGTGCACTTGCAGTTTACTTGAGCGGACTATCACTTTCACTTGATCACTGAGCTGACTCATGATAACTAAGTTCTACTAGATTATCTTCAATTACATTCAAGCCCAGACTACCAAATTAAAGTTGTTGTTTTTTAAGTTTCTAAGAAACTTTGCATTTATCAATTGTAATACACTCTACAATATGAACAGTCATTCTCATTACACAAAGGTGGGGCTGTAACCCCTAGATATTACCTAAAAAACCTTTGAAGGAAATTACTGTCGACATCCTTACACAGATTACATTAAGTAATGATCTCCAAGGGTAGTGACAGGTATTGCCTACTTGGAGAATAACAAAGAAACCAAGATTACTTTAAACAAGATCAATTTAATGATTTTCTCAGTTATGTGTTATATGAAACTTACACATACTCAGTACAAAGTATAAAAATTGTAATTCTAGAAGAAAATAGAAACACATGGTGTACTCATATACCACACAAACAAGATCTCTCGTTCAGTATCAATGATTTTCTTATGTTCTGTTGATAATGAAGTGTTAACAACAACAAAAAATTGTAGTGTTACTGAGATATGTGACACAATTTTTAGTTAAAAAGACATCTTGCTTTCCTAGATACAGTATACACACTATATAGTAAAGTATTTTATATGACTGCTTTAATACCCACTCAACCTTAAACACTGACTTGAAAAGACTTCGTAACCAATGGCACACAACATGTAAATTATGATGGAAATGCTGTTAATGCTATAGTCTTACAGGAAAGTTGTATGGGATCAGCTCAGAATGAAGTACTATTCCAGTCAGCGGTCATATTTGTTAATTCTAGAAAATCAGATTCACACTTATGTAATAACTTATACTGGAAGAGCTGCTAAAATTCTACAATAATAATTATAATAAATTTTATTATTTAGTAAACCTATTTATTGTATAGAAGAACTGTAAGTTCAGCAACTTAGTCTCAGGATTGGGTATTATAAATGTTGTAACTCACACTGTGTACAGAACATTGTAGGGATTGATTTGGCTTCTGATAACTGTAAATATTTTGTTACATTAAATATAAAACTCTAAACCATATTGTTATTACCATAAAGGCATATTTGAAAGTTCCTAGCAAACTGAAAATCCTCCTTGTTTTTGTGATTTCCTATCAGAACAAGCCAAACCTCAAGTGGATCCAAATGAAGAACATCAGAAACTCATAAAGATGATACAAGAAGAGCAGTATTTATTGGCTCAACAAGAGGAACTTTTGTTGCTTGAAGAAGAACTGAAGAGAAAGATAAAGACAGAGCATGTAGAAGTGGAAAGGTTAAGAGCAGAGATTGCAGAATGTCATCAACTGAATAAGTAAGGCTGCCCCTCAGTACTTAAATTATATTTTCAGCTTAATCTATATAGAGTATATATAAGAAAAAATAATAATGTTTGTAGAATGTAGGGCATGCTATAACATTGTTTTCAAGGCATGTGACAACATTTTTGATTAAAGTTGGAAATATTTCCTTCTAATGAGCACTTTTCAATATATACACCTGGAAAAAA